AAATTTTATGGAAGATAGAAATATGTTATTTTTCTCAAAAATTTTACTTCAGTTTTAGATTTATTTGTATGAACATTTTGCCTGCATGGATGTCAGTGCACTCATGTCATACGAGGCCCACAGAGGTCAGAAGAGGGCATTAGATCTCCTGGAAGTGGAGTTAAGTACAGACCTTAGCTGCTACTTGGGTGCTATAAGCCGAATCCAGGTCCTCTACAAGAACAGACAGTGTTCTTAACCCCTGAGCTATCTCTCCGGCCCCTCAAAACATAAGAAAAATCCCAATGTCCTGTGTGCAGAGTTAACAAAAGCTCTCTCATTTTTATCATTAGGGCATTATTCTCTCAAGAGGTCCTATATCTCAAGCAGTTCTAAAACTTTGAGTAGCGGGCTCAAGGGAGCAACTCAACTAACACTGATGTGGTTAAGCTAATATACACAGGTGAGGTCACAGATGGCCCAAGAAGCCTTGGAAAATCCATTTCTGTTGAGCACAGCTAAGAAAGTCAGGTGTGAACTACCTTCACCCAGGCTAAAATTAGTACAGGGAACTGGACTCTGCAGTGGTACTTCCTAGGTATCTTAAGCAGCAATCTCACTGGGGAGAGAGAACTAAATGAAGAACAATCTGACATCATATTTTTTAAAAGCTAATCCTTAGTACTTTCCAGAGACTACTGGAGGTATCATTTAGTGAAAGGGTATACAGAAAGTTTTTAATCTGCCATTAATGAACTTCACAGGATTCTTGCTAAGCTGCCTTAAAAAAATGGTATACTAATTGAATTGTCAAATTAGGACTATGGCAGATTAAAAAATATATACTGATCATCTGTCTTGAAAGGAAAATGTCTAAGCAAATGAGTTGTTTAGTGTCAGCAGCTCAGATTTAGACAATCCAATTATTCATCAGTTAAAATGATCCCAACTTTTAATTTTTCTAGGGTATATAAGTTCACACACACATTACATACTAAAAAGTTTGAGGCAGCTTTGCAATATAATAAAGTTAACTATAATGTCTAAAACAAAACAGTCCTGACTCAAGAAATTACATGAACATACAAAACCAGTTCAAATTACATGAACATACAAAACCAGTTCTTAATCATAAAAGTAATCATGAGATTCTCTCATGTCCTGGCTCTAAGTTTCTTAACACACAAATTGCACTCTGAGAAATCATTTGTCCCTCAATCCCCACCGACAAAAGGTAGTCTGAACAAATAAAACCACGCAAGCTTGAAAAGATAAAAAAGGAACTCAACAGTATGATCCTGACACTCTAAAGACCATCCAACATCCTCCCAATTGCACTAAAAATCTGACATTCCAGATGCCCCAAGGCTGGAATGCAAATGCTCTTATAGAGAACACATGGGCTTGAGTGTCAGAGAAGCTTATCACCTAAAACAAAACAAAATCTGACAATTTGCTACTTGTCATTCCCAAGAACATTTAACTGGTAGATATTCAGAGCCACTTGTAAAACAGTGGTCCAATTTGAACACTACTACCTAGTCAGTAAAGGAAGAGGGATGTGGTATGTAAAAAACACTCTCCTGTCTGGGTACAGCAAAGGTCAAAGAGAAGAAACGTTCTGTACACAGATGAAATATGGCTGATAAGGTAGCCAGCAACTTCTACTTGGATACATGTTGTCAGAAAGGAAGAATAAAATTCAACTGAAGAATATAAAGAATTTAGCAAAGTACAGCACATTAAGTGAAAATAGGTGACAGTGTGATGTGTCTGAACACCAAAGCCTTAAACCAGAGTAAAGATCCTTGGCTGTCATATGAAGATATATTTGAGAAAATGGCGCAAAAAAAAGAAACAAACGGGCAAACTGGAATGCTCAGCTTTTAAAACAAAGACTATACATACATAAAGACAGTTTCTTAAGTACAGTGAAGATTGTCTTGTGTTACTTTATATCCCACCATCAACCCATTTACCCTCAGACACAGAGGGTACTCAACATAGAATTAATGTTCCAAGTATTTAATTTTTAAAATTAAAAATAAATGTTAAAAGGTATATATATGGGCAGCTCTCAGAAGAGGTAGAGAAACCAACTGGGCATATACTTTCTTTGATTTAAACTAGCAAAAGACTACTAGACTGATTGCTTTTCACTTGAAGTCTTCATTTGGATGAATGGATAACAAAGGCACAAATAACACGAAGTTAAAATAGTAAAAGGGAACTCTGAACATTTAAAGGACAGATGAATTAAACTGTATATGACTTAAGGTTAAGAGGAAAAAACTCTAGATAGCAAAAAATTTGGCAAATATACCTAGAATGCAGATAAGAGTATACAATTAGAAGATTTATCTTTTCCTTCTGAAAAAGGGACCAGTCCTGAGAGCAACAGTAACTCCCACAGGACTAAGACCACGTGGAGGTCAGGAGTGTCTCAGGCATCATTCAACATGGATCACAGAGGCTGAGTAAAGAACAGACACCAAACCATGTTCACTGATTAAATATGTACCAGGATGTATATTCAATAAATGGTCTGGTTCAGACCTGAACAGGACTGCTTCTTTAAATCAGAGCCTAATTTAGTGGTATTTCAAAGAACTGGCCTAAATCCAGCTATATTTTCTAATTTGCTTATAAAGGCTTTCAAATTACTGTGAAGGGAAGATCCTAAGTGGTAAGGATAACTTAAATCAAGACAAATCAACTGAGGAGTCTCTATCATTTGGAATAAAGCCAGCTCTATAAAAGGGTTAACAGCAACAAAAACTAAACCAGAGAAGGCAAATGTAATGCAAAAAATATAGCATCTCACCAAAAATCCAATGTGATCCTCAAGCATATTCACATAAGCATAATCACCATTGTGACAAAGTCAATACTCAATGGAACAGGTCTTTCTAAAGAATTCAGTCTCCGTTTCTCAACCTCCTACCACTTTCAAAGTTGTCCTCTATCCCAGAACTATTCCCTAACATCAGCACGAGTTCAAGTATGTCAGAACTTCCAATGAGGGGCAGAGTTTGCACAGATTATCTCCAGCAGACCCAACAGTGGTAATATGTGGGATATTTGCTCTAATCACAAGATGGATGGTAAAGTAATAGTAACCAGTGTGCAGTCTAGAAGCAAGCAGCAGGTCACTATGTTGGTGAAAATTCATACAAGAAAGTTGGTAAATTAAGAAGCACTCAGTTGGTGCAAGTAAGAGATTTTTATAACAAAAGAAAGATTTGTGAGATGACATGAAGCAGTTTATCACAAACAGTGCCACCTTGAATGAATTATGAACAGCAGAACCAGTCTCATCTTCAGGTTTGGGGTGTGTAGAGGTGTCTGTATAAATATGAGTGCCTAACGGTGAGTCTCCTTTAGGTTGAGCCTTTGGGTTTGGCGCTGCCTCCTTTCTAGCAGTGCTATTTCCCTGGTTTGCATATGACTTGCTCCTTCTAGGTCAGGTGTTAGCTCAAGCATCATTTCCGTAGAGGCCTTCCTGATGTCCCATCAGAAGCAAGCCACCTGCCATTTTCTAGATAGTACCCTGCTTACCTCCTTCACAGACAGGTGAGTACAAGCTAAAGCAACCACTATCTCAGCAAAGGCAGGAACTGGAGCTACTTTCTTGATTTCACCCAAAGGCTAAGACAGTTTCTGGCACATTAACAGGTGAACAATAAATACTTGAATAAAAAATTACTATACTAAATTTACATAAACACATACAGTACACACACAAATACAGGAAAAGGGGGACTATCTAATAGAAAATAAGCTGATGCTGAAAAGTATCCAAAATGACACCTGTACATATGTGAGCATGGTTTCAAAGAGCAAGCACCAAAGGTGTCTATCCACAGAAATATGAACATTTATGAAAGGGGATCAGAATTGGATATTTTCCATTTCTGTGGAGATGCAAAGAAGAAATGGGTCAACACTGGCTGTAGTAATTAGCCTTTGAAGAACGGATTAAACAGAGCAGTTGAAACCTCACTTGCAGAGCATAAAACATGGTGAACCACATACCCAGGATTAGTAAGAACAGCTCAGACTGCAGGCTATATAAGCTAAAAACTTTGCTAAACAGCTTATCTCCCAATTTAAAAAATTCTGAAATTATATAACATCAACATTCAATTTATAAATTACATACAACACACTTTAAAACAGATGGCCCTTATCTGCTGACCAGACCTCTGCAACACTCCTCTCATAGCTGCAGAAGTGACCATAGTCACAAAAGGTCCGTTTTATAATACTACCTGGTGTTAAGTGAAGCGAGGATATTGATCAAAGAGCAGAAGGTCTGCTGCTGAAATATTTTAAAATACCTTTACAAAAAGGGTAGTTTATTATTAGACTGGCTTTGTAAAAAGATAAACATACCAAAGTGATTCTAGCATATCCCTGAAATCAGTATACTACCGCCGGTGCATGTTTTGAGACAAAAGGTTAAATCAATAGAGCAACAGGCTCTATAAGTCAATGATTATCTGCTGATGTTTGGTTGTAAGAGAAGAGGACTTACTCCATGTGAACCTTTACTGGACTCAGAACTAACTGGTACCAACAGATACCAGTGCAACTAGTACCAGCAATGACATCCTGCTGTATGTACTGTTTTGGTATCAGAATAAAAGTGGGATGAAGAAAAGAGGCTGGGAAGCTTTCAGTGAGGTTTCCTTCTAATGCAATTTGGCAGTGAATAAAGAAACACAGGAAGAATGACTGTTAAGATCCACTGAACACATTAAGGTCAAGGATTTCAGAAGTTAATCCACTTTTCTTCCCCCAAGAGTTTGTTTATTTTTGGTAAAAGGCAGAAAAATTAGTTTCTACAAGGAAAATCTGCTTCTAAATGATAATTTGAAAATCTTGATA